GACATTCTTACATAAAATATTGTTTCATGGAAAGGTGTGGAAGACAATTAAAAATGATCTAAAACAAAAATTAAATCTAAATTACGTCCACACATTTTTTCTTCTTCAAAAAACAAAAATTAGATCTTAAAGCTAACATTGATATTGAAATATAGAAAAAATTAATTACTGTTAGAATAAATACATACTACTCTCACTGAATGAATTTTCAACAAATCAGCTCCTTTTGATGAAAAATGAATTCTAGAATTTTCTTCTGTTTTTACCTTTATCTTTCTACTTAAAAATAAAAACAGACTAGTGAATAATGAATAAACTATGAAAACAAATATCAATTAGTACTTAATGACTTACGGAAAGTTTTTCAAACTATCATATTATTTATACAAACTTTCATTAAGCTTTCTTAAACTATGTAAAAATTATTTTCGGCAAGAAAGACAACTTGTACATATAAACTATGAATATCTATGTTTTTATGTCTGTTTATAATAATTGAAATCTATGCCTGCGCATAAATTTTAAAGCCTATTGCTCTAGACCATAGATTTTAAAAAGATTCACCTTCATAATACAGAGAAAAAAAAGAATTTCAGAAGTAAAAATGGAAAAATGTTTAGCAAATAATAAGATATCATAATTATTGATTAACTATAACTTGTTTTTAAATATCTGAAGCGAAAATAGAAGAGGATAGTTTTACATGAATATTTTTGTTACCAAATAGTATCAAAAGAATCATGCACTTGCAAACTTATATTATCTAAGATGGATCCCAGTATAACAGAAATACATAAAAATAAATTGCTATTTGCTATCAAAAGATTGGTCAGACTTTTGCAGATTAGTTAAAAATTACATTATTAAAGCATGCATTATCAACTTTGAAGTTAATTGTACACTGAATGTCGAAAATAAAAATCAATAAATTTAAAAGAAACAAATAGTATGAACAAAAAATTTTTTAGCAAATTTTCAACCTATCTTTATGTATGAGCAAAAAAAACAGTGAGTAAACTATGTAATGGCTGGATCTCCCTAAATATACTACAATGTATAAAAATTTCCTTTTGAGAAACATTTAAATTGATAATTAAATTAAACTAATCTAATGCATAGTTTGATAATTTATACTTTTTTTCATTAAAAAAATGTTAGAATACGTTCTGTCCATTTTTTTTTTAAAGTAAAATGAATAAAATAATAAATATTCAATTTTACATCCATGCTTACATAGTATGTTGTTTAATGTTAAACAATTTACTGTGAAGTACAGAGCTCTTGTATTCTTGACTGAAAAAAGAAATAGGATTCTATCTTGTGGGGAAATATTTCTTAAAATTTTTTTATCTTTTTTTATGCAATAAAGCGAGAACTGACAATGATAAATATTTCTTTTAACAGGAAGACTTAACAATGATTTAATTTAAAATAAATTTGCTTTCATTAAATTTTATTCATATGAGCAAGTTATCTGAAATACAATAAAGGAGGTAAAACTGCAATTAAGTGGATGTATTACTAAAAATGATGCAATCTAATTTTTTTTAATTTAACTATCATTAACTTTACAGAAAACGTAATAATATTTTTAATCACATAATTTTAAAATTTCATTGCTTCTAGTAGATTTGTTGAATATACAATCAACTAGTTTTAATGTTGCTGAATTTTGTAAGCAGTTGCAATTTAAAGAAACAGAAAATTCTAATTACAAAAAGTAGAATAATAGCTGTAAACTCCTCATTATCCGCAGAACTTGGTGGCCCATGAAGTGCGGATAAGCAAATTTTTAGATAATCGAGCAAAACACTAAAAAAAGGGACACACATCTTAAATTTTTTAAATATAAATGATACATTTTACTATCTATTATTAGCAGTTTTCTTCTTTTACATTTTGTTTTATTTCTGTATGATAAAGTCTGGTCAACAGTTTTTGTTTCTTGGTGTTGGAAAGACAGGAAGCTAAAATAAAACAGTCACAAGCAGACTTTTAACTCGGGAGTTCACTGTTGAAAAAAGAATGCATAAAACAATGTTCAAAACACGTAAATTATAAAAAATTACTGTGCATGCACCATTTTTAGAAACTTATCAGTAACATAACTAAAAATAAACAACTGATAGCAATTTTGAAACCATACGTATGATCCATAAATTATTCAAAGCCCTGCTTCATTCTTTTTCCTTCAAGGGTATAAATGTTTTGTGGAGACCACCCTCATTTGTTAATCATCAATTTTATAACTGGTATAAGTTTCAAAAATATATTAGTGAACCATGAAAGAAACCATGTGGTTAGATTGGAATTCTTTAAATTTTCTACTATGAAAAAAAGAATATTTAAAGAATTTTATCTAGTGTTTTTCTATGGAATATGCAACAAGAAATTTAACAGTTTTGCCTTAGCGAATATTGAATATCTCTTAAAATAATAGTGCTAATTCAAAACAAATAGCATTGCTTAAACATTTTACTTTAGATATTAGTTTAAAGAAAATTATATCTATGAACTTTATCAAGAGCACTGCTTGGATAAAATACAGTATAAAATGGCTATATATTGAAATGTAAATAAATATAAAAATTTACTGATATATAATCACCTGGAATTATTTTCTTTTGCTTAAGGAAAATATATTAAACAGTACTTATCCAAAGTTTTATTGGGTCACTCTGTAATTTCTATTTGGTACATTTTATGCAAAAACTACCTAACACTTTAAAACATTTTTTATTCATTAAAAGCAATATATATCTATCAATCTATTCAATATGATATATTACAAATAACATTTTAAGCAAAATACTTTATAATATTGACACTTTTCTTGTACCCACCTCTACTTAATAAGAAAAAATTAACACACTAACCTGGAAATCTTATGATTTTTCTGGGAAATTTGAAATCTGATTTGAGTGGCCAACCTGATAATTCATTACATTCATCATGTAAAGGAAGACAGAAAAGCTATGTTTCATTACTTGTTATCAATATTATTGTTTTGAATAGTAACAATACCATCCAGGAAACGAAACTACTTTGACGTGTTCTTTTCATTAAAATTTGAACTTCATCCTGCATTTGTAGTTGAGCAGCTATAAATCATGACTCATATTGTCTTGCTCTTCATGAATGTCTCCCCATTTTCAACCCATTATTGGATTAATTGCGAACGCCTGGGCTACAAACAATATTTTTATCTTTGGTATGTCCATCTAAGTTATTTTATAAAATAATTGTATAATGTAATAAACTATATAAATTTTCTATTAAATATTAGTGAATACACAATTCTTCATTCACTCTTGAAAAGTAGTATGTACTGTACTATACAGATTTGTTTACAGTAAGAGTTTAAGAGAAGTTCACATTTGCAATATCTTATGTTACTTACTTTAAAAGTGTCTTTATTCAAATAAAAAATGAGTGAATAAAGACACTTATAAATGAGCCCCTCTTTTTTGTATTGCTTGAACATAATTATTTGCTCTTAGATTGGTTTCCTTATTTACCAGATTATTAAACATGTGAAACAGTTTTAACAAAATATCTCATTTAATATTCAAAATTTTACAAACCACTTGAAATTAAATAAAAGCAACTTTATATAAAGATTTTGTTCTCATTAAATACAGGTAAATGCAATTTAAATATTTACTCCGATTCTTTAGCTTTTCAACTTCATTAAAAAATTTTAAGCACGATAAACATTTCCAAAATTACATTTTAACAGGACTATTCTTATATTCTCATTGTGTTTGTTTATAGACAATTCCAAAAATTGCACAAATCAGATTTGAAACCTTATTTGCACTTTTGTATATGACTAGTGCAATCAACACTTCCGTCAAAGTAGAAAAAAGAATTTCCCTGAATTGAGCAGAAATTTTTGTTTCACTTTGTAAAAAAAATAATAAATTAAGAAATAAAAGAATGAAAAGGAAAAAAATTGGTTTGAATATTTTTCAAATATTTAAAAAAATTTTTTTACTGAAAACAAATATTTTGGGGAATGCTGTTCTCCCCCAACTACAGCACTGCTCTTCTGTATGCTGATATGATGCGTAGCACTACACTATTTCTATTAAATTGCCGGCTCGTAATTCACTGACACTTCAGTGTATATGTAAATAAAGTAATTCATCCCTCATTGAAACTGAAGGGTTCCCTCTTTTCAATTACTTTGTGTGCCCTCTTGGTATATTGCATCTGTTAAAAGACAAAAATGTGTGATATAATGAAAATTGTGTGTAATTGACTAAAACAATAATGAACTGGTATATTATTTCCAATTTGTTTGTAAAAATAATGATAATTCTTACATTTTCATTTTTACTTTGTTTAGAAAAATATCTTTCTTTTGAACCCAATGTGGCAAAATTTTTAGAAACAATCTTTAGAACAAAACATAATATTTTGAAAAGCTATAAAACTTGTCATTTTTAATGTAATATGAATCTGAAGTGCTTCTCAATTCCTATTACTATTTCTTATAAACGAAATATTGTTTATGTGCCTTGGTATGACGAAAGTTTTTGGACTTTTAATTGCAATGAATTCTGGGAAAATGCCTAGCTTTATAGTTTTTTCTCAAAAAAAAATTTTATGAATTTCTAGTATTTTTTAGATCTTTTTTATGTTAAAAACTATGTTTATCAAATCCCATCTCATATTGTAATTCAAGTGGTATTCTTTTATTGTATAATTATTTCATAAAACAAAATAGTTGAGAATGTTGACAGTTGCACTATGTTTAATGATTTTTTGCCTAATCTATAAAGTTTTCCACTAAGTACAAGCAGTGATTAGTTGACGACTTTGTAATATAAGTGATTTTTTGTCAAGCCCCATTGATGATAAAAGTGTTATAAAAATAAAACTTTTGTGGTATTGAAACAATTTTTTTGAATGTTAATTTTGGTGTACATATAAAACTTAATAGCACGATTTTTTTTATTCAAAAAATACATTTTTGATTATTTATTTTTTGATAGTTTAAAGAGAACATTTCTTCTTGTTGATGGCAAAGTAGGCTTTCAAAAGTGGGATGAGGTTGCTCTGGCAATGTTAGAAGAATTTAAAATTCCATATGGGGTGAGTTATTTTCTCATCAATAAGATTTTCCTATTATTTCATTTTCATCTCATATTTGACATATTGTTTCTTTCTTTTATATAGCTTATTATGACTAAAATTGATAAGGCTATTCCATCTCAAAGAGTTCGGAATATGTTGCATTTGCAACAAATAAGAAGTAAATACACATCTGGTTGCTGTTTAGCTCAGCCATTCATGATCAGGTATCTCCTTGATTTCAATTTTTTTTTTTAATTTTCTTACTTAGCTATTCAAAGCATAAATCTATTTCTGTAATCTAGTATTTTATACTGATTCAATTATACATTCAATGCTCTATGTAACAACCCTTGTGGTCCAAACCAAAATGGACATAATAATGTGAGGTCGCTCTATAGTAACACAAAATTTTATCAAATATTCACTCCCTTCAGAAATATATTAATTTCTATTTGAAACCAATAGCATTATGTTGGTTATGAGGCTGGTTTTTGCTAAATAACATGCTTCCTGAGAACTGCAATATCTTAAATTAAAACAATATCAAAAGGAATATGAATACCATATGTTTTAACTCTGAAGTAAACTACCTATTATAACATTTTACATAAAGAGTGCATACAATTTTCAAGCATGAAAACTATGATTGATGAATTTATTGAACTCTTTGTATAGAAATTTACAATTTTGATGAATGCATATTAGAGATTCCAATTTTCATATGAGAATTCTATATACACTTCTTATTCTCACTAATGAAAAGCAACTGATTTTTCAATATAAAATATGCTTAGGTCCACCTAGGAGGAAAAGTAGCTGGTCTCATCACTTTTTCTTGATTCATAGAGAATTCAAAATGTTTCAAATTTATTGAGCGGTAACATCAAATGAAATATTGGTTTGAATAATTTCTTTGATACTTTTGCTATCCATTGTTTCATAATCAATGGAAAAATGTTTAACTTTTACATTTTGATCGATTTTTTTGAAATTAAAAAAAAATAATGAAATTACAGTCATTAAAATCAGCCATTCAGTGTAGATGTTCTAATGAGCATTAAAATAGCATTGGTTAATAAAATAGCAAACTGAACTGTATGTATCAATTATTACAATTAAAAAGTCATTTTAATGTGGGTCATACTAAGGAACATAGACTGTGTCTATAGTGCTTACTGAAAATCAATTTCATTATTTTGATAGTTCTTCTGTAGATCATGCCCCTTTCTTATAGTTATTATATACTTTGTTACTGCCCTGGATTCTCTTCTAACACTACAGGATCAAAATAACATCTGGATCCTCTCTGACAGCCTCAGCTCCATACAATACTTAACGCATTGGAGGAAGGTGAGAGACAAAACAGGTGCTTCAATCCTACAAAAAATTAAAATCCTCTCACGATTGCGTGAAGTCCACCTCCAATGGATCCCTTCTCACTTTGGGGTTCTGGGCAATGACATCGCCGACACTCTGGCTAAGGAGGGGACGAAAGAAAATCTGATAAGTCCAAATTCCCTCACCTTCATGGAGCTGGCATCAAAAAAGAAAAAAGAAGACCTCGCTTCCTGGCTCGTACCCCCCAAGCATCACTGGTACCAGAGCACCAGTCCAGGAGGTGCACTCAACATTCGGTGCAACCGCAAGGACCAGACTGCACTTACCAGGCTTATCAGCGGCCACCTTAAGTCCCTTTCTTTTGAGGGTAGTATTAAAATCTACCCTAACTGCCCCAGGTGCCACAACATGCAGGCTTCCCCCCAACATATACTGGACTGTCTAGGTCTGGACAAAAGGGACATTCTTAATAACACACTTATGGTGGCCGACTTCCTCCGGGTGATGAATTTCATGGACATAGTTTAGCCCTGCTAATTTTGGGGATAAGGAAGAAGAAGAAGATATACTTTGTTATAGTTTTATGAGAAATCCATTTACAGTATTAATAAAAATCCTATATTGATTTTTATTTTCATTTTTTTAAAAATAAAATCAGTAAGTATTGGATATAAAACCTCTTATAATGTAATTTCTTTCTAAATCAAAATGATTGAACTTATAGTACAGGTAAATAATAAAAGTATCTAGAAATTTTCCATTTTCAAAGGTAGCTTTTGCTGTTCTAATTCTTAACAAACAATAAGCAGCATGAAACACAGCAAAACAGCAAGAGATTAAATCAATGTCTCATCAGCAACTACCTAGCATTTTAAAATCTTTTTACCTTAGATTTTCAATGCAAATTTGGGCAGCCCATCAATTAGTACAAGTCCATGACCTTGTCCTTTCCACGTAGCAATTTAAGGATGGTAAAAAATATATTAAAAAAATATTTGTCTTTAGTAAAATAAAATAAAGTTATTTAAAAACTTAGTAGCTTTTAAATTAATGTAATAAATATCTTAAAAATTAAGTCAAAATTTAACGCTTTTAAAATATTTCAAACTTTTTATACGATATTAAAAAAAACTAAATACAGCTATATAATGTTTAATATTTAAGAAGTTTTAAAAATATTAATTTTTAAAAATACAGTAAGAAAGTAAAAATAAACTAACTAAAATATAAATGTAATCACTAAATTTTAAAACTAGAAAAAGAATAATATGTTTTTATTTTTAAAAAAATTATCTTGTGTTAGATTATAATTTATGGATAGGAGTGGTAACAAACAGAAAAAATTAAGTCATTAAATATAGAAGCACATAAAATTAATAAAATTGCAATATATACTATTTTTTAAAGTCTGCTTTAACAAATCTCATGGATAAAATTATTAAATTAAGGAATAATCAACTAATGATTTTAATTTAAAATGGAAATATTGTCAATCACAAAATATAAACAAAAACGTAATAGATGAGTGAAAAAAAGAACTAATTGAATAATTAATTAAAAGAATCAATACTTATCTAACAAGCTCATATTATTTCATACTAATTAAAAGTAAAACAATCTTATGTTTTAGATTTTTTTTTTAACTGAAATAAAAGTATTGTTAACAAATTATTTACCTATAAAATAAAACAAAATGATTATAAAGGCTTTTAATTTAACATTATGTTATGAAAAGGGAAAATTTATAAAAGTATTATTTAACTTGAAGGAAAGTAATAAATTTTATTTTTACTTTTAGAAAGAAACAAAAAGTAACTTGAATCTGAAATGGTTGATATACTTTTAGAATTTGAAAAACTAATAAAAATTTTAGATGAATATTTTCTATAAAAGCACTGTGCAGCATTAAAGTCAAGATGTGTCTGTTATATCCTTCCTCTAACATAGCAATTGTTATTTTTTTTGACAAATCAGAACCATCTTTCACTTATTTGCGTACCTTAGAAATTTCGTATTAATTGTTTTTTATGAGTAGACCAATGACCAAGGTTGCGCCAATATTTCCAACTTCTCGTTTTTCTTTCCAGAAAATGCCCTTTCCTTCACAACACAGATTTTTCTTAGAACATTTTGTGGGACAAAGTTACTATAGGCAAGTCCAGAAGGGTTTTCTTAAAGAAATATTAAAATATACTCAACAGGACATAGTCTCTATGAGTGACTGTCATCTGCATTTGTAGATTGTAAATTATCGAGGCCGAATGTCATCGGCACTGTTGATAAGATCTAAGACAAGGAATGCTGCCTTGCTACACAGTTTGAAGGGCTAATTTGTTACCAAACTATTAGATATATTTCAACATTTTGAAATAGGAAAATAAGTTCATTACAACTTTTAGTTTGCAACAGGCAAGCAAAAAACTTGAAGAAGGGGAAAAGGCTGCCAAAATTTTTTTTAAATCTAACATAACTTAACCCCACCCCTCCCTTAATAGCCGTCCTATGCAGCCGCTTACTAGGCTTATGCCTCGGACCGGCCCTGATTAGTGGCTAGATTGAGTTCTTATTTGAAAGATTCTGTTTTGTAGTTTTTGGGTACAAAGTGAAACACCTAAAATTGGAGTTAGTGGGAGAAAAAATCCTGAATACTTCCCTATTTTTACTATGTTAGATTTATTTGTTCAAATTTAAAATACTCATAAAGGAAACTTTTTATGTTAAGATTAATTCTTTCTTATGTGTAATATTTTTCTTTTTTTATCTAACATCTTATTGTTATTCGTTATTTTTCTTTCTTTCTGTGGTTTATTTTGGCTATAGTATTAATTTTGGGCTATATTATATTAATTTTATTTTTGGCTATATTATTTTGGCTTTCAGTATTTGTTTTAAAAATACTCTCTCCTGAGGTTTACCTTATTTAGATGAACATAAGAAGCTCAGTGATCTTTCTGCCTTTTTATTTATTTATTTTTGTCTAACTTAGTTTGTAGTATTGTTGATCTCTTGATTTTGAGTACATTTTGTCACTTACTTTCTGGCTCTTGTGTTATTATATTGTATGTTCAATTTCTTGAGTTTTTGATACATTCCAATGCTTATAGTTAAACAATTAAACACATTTTAAGTTATTTTGATTAGTTATTACATTGTGTAAATGTAGAAATTTAACTTAGGGCTCTAGAAAGGACCTGAAGTGCAAGGTTACAAAAAAAAAATTTTTTTTTGGAAGTTTTCCTTCTGAAATTTCCTTCTGAATCCCTAAGTATTTTAGTAACATTTTTGTAGCCAAGGTTGTTTCCTCTTGCATGATTATGCATAAAAATTTATAACAAAGTAAGCTCTGTTGTAAATACTAGGAATAAAATAAACTTTAATGATAGTTGAAACATAAAATTCTCAAATTAAGAATATTTATCACTAACATGTAATTAGAACATAAATTAAGAATGTGTATCACATTAATGTAAATGGTTAAAGTAAATTAGCTGGAAATTTTGCTTTCAGAATAGTCTTACATGTAGTTAAAGTTACATTGTAAAAGTTTTCATTAAATTATGGTACAGTATGGGACCCCTAATCCGGCATCCCAAAATTCGGCACATAATCCAATCTATTTTTTTAATAAGAGAAAAAAAATCAGTTATATTCTCTTTCTATTTGGAATTTTATTCTGTTGAAGTAAGTAACTTTATTTTATCTTTCTAAAAAAAAAGCATGAAAAAAAAATCTTTGTCAAAGGAAACATCTGTTTCTAAAGCAGTTTAAAATATCTAAAGTGAAAGGGAAAAGTAAAAAGACCTGGATTTTCAATGAACAAAATAAAGAAAAGCAAGTTGGAAGAAACTGATCAATCAATCTTGACAGCTGTGCAAGTGCTCTACTG